TACATCTAGGTTTTTCTCCTTTTTCTAAATAGCTCTTGTTCTTCTTTATTTCTTCTATTGTCCATGGGGAAGTGGAAAAGAATCTTTCCTCCGTAAGCCATGCGTGTCGTATGAGGCGACTAAAATGCCGGGAGCAATGGGCTAGTAACCCCTTCTCCTGTAGACATTTACTAAAAAAGAGAAGAAGAAAAACTTTATAAAACTGGGATGCTTAAATGTGCGTGGATGTAGTGCGGATGACAAGAAACAGATGATTGCTGATGTTATGAATGAAAAGAAGTTGGATGTCCTGGCCCTAAGCGAAACAAAGCTGAAGGGGGTAGGAGAGTTTTTAGTGGGGGGAAAATAAATGGGATTAAATCTGGAGTTTTCTGAGAGAGTTAGAGCAAAGGAAGGGGTAGCAGTAATGTTAAACGATCAGTTATGGAAGGAGAAAAGAGAATATGAATGTGTAAATTCAAGAATTATGTGGATTAAAGTAAAGGTTGGATGCGAGAAGTGGGTCATAATAAGCGTGTATGCACCTGGAGAAGAGAGGAATGCAGAGGAAGAGAGAGATTTTGGGAGATGTTAAGTGAATGTATAGGAGCCTTGAACCAAGTGAGAGAGTAATTGTGGTGGGGGACCTGAATGCTAAAGTAGGAGAAACTTTTAGAGAGGGTGGGGTAGGTAAGTTTGGGGTGCCAGGTGTAAATGATAATGGGAGCCCTTTGATTGAACTTTGTATAGAAAGGGGTTTAGTTATAGGTAATACATATTTTAACCCCTTTGACTGTCGCGGCCGTATATATACGTTTGCGAGGTACCGTGTTTGACGTATATATACTCATAAATTCTAGCGGCTTCAAATCAGGCAGGAGAAAGCTAGTAGGCCCACATGTGAGAGAATGGGTCTGTGTGGTCAGTGTGCACCACATAAAAAAAATCCTGGAGCACGCAGTGCATAATGAGAAAAAAAAAAACTCCGACCGTTTTTTTTAATTAAAAGGGCCGACTTTGTGGTCTATTTTCGTATAGTATTTGTGGTTGTATTCTCGTTTTCTTGTCTCATTTGATAGAATGGAAACTATATTATAGAAATGGAGGTGATTTTGATTAATTTTACTATAAAAAGAACCTGGAAATGGAGCACAAAGTACAGGAAATGTTTGATTTTTGCCGATGTTCAAAAGTGAAACAAATGATGTCATTTGTCCAATAAATGTCCAAATAGCCATTCTAATACGCAGTCATGAATGGGTTGATGTAATTTTTACAATTATTACAGTATTGCAGTAGTCTGCATAACAGTAAATCTTCTATTTTTTGTTTGAATAAAATTTCAAAATAAAAAGCAAGAGTAATATCACAGGGACCTGGAGACATGACTGATGAACAAAGAAAATGTTATTTTTAGAGCCAGGAATGTCTGCATTGTTCATTCTGGACCTATTTTGAAATTGTCGTATTTTTTAATTTTCGTGAAATTGGCCAAATTGCAAATTTCTGACCATGTTATTGGGTAGTTGAAATCGGTAAATGGGCAGTTTCTTGTACTCAATCGATAGAAAAAATAGAGTTCTGAAGAAATAGTTATGAGTTTGGTTGACTGGAATAACGGAATTAGCCGAAAATAGGGCTCAAAGTGGGCGAAATTGCCGATTTTTAAATATCGCCGAAGTCGCTAACTTCGCGAGAGCGTAATTCCGTCACTTTTCCATCAAATTTCGTTTTTTTGGTGTCTTTACAATCGGGAAAAGATTCTCTATCATTTCATAAGAAAAAATAATTTTTTTTTTTTTCGAATATTTTGCGACACCAGAAGCAACTTTAGGATTTGGCCCTTCGACAGTCAAAGGGTTAAGAAAAAGAGGATAAATAAGTATACAAGATATGATGTAGGGCGAAATGACAGTAGTTTGTTGGATTATGTATTGGTAGATAAAAGACTGTTGAGTAGACTTCAGGATGTACATGTTTATAGAGGGGCCACAGATATATCAGATCACTTTCTAGTTGTAGTTACACTGAGAGTAAAAGGTAGATGGGATACAAGGAGAATAGAAGCATCAGGGAAGAGAGAGGTGAAGGTTTATAAACTAAAAGAGGAGGCAGTTAGGGTAAGATATAAACAGCTATTGGAGGATAGATGGGCTAATGAGAGCATAGGCAATGGGGTCGAAGAGGTATGGGGTAGGTTTAAAAATGTAGTGTTAGAGTGTTCAGCAGAAGTTTGTGGTTACAGGAAAGTGGGTGCAGGAGGGAAGAGGAGCGATTGGTGGAATGATGATGTAAAGAGAGTAGTAAGGGAGAAAAAGTTAGCATATGAGAAGTTTTTACAAAGTAGAAGTGATGCAAGGAGAGAAGAGTTATATGGAGAAAAAGAGAGAGGTTAAGAGAGTGGTGAAGCAATGTAAAAAGAGAGCAAATGAGAGAGTGGGTGAGATGTTATCAACAAATTTTGTTGAAAATAAGAATAAGTTTTGGAGTGAGATTAACAAGTTAAGAAAGCCTAGAGAACAAATGGATTTGTCATTTAAAAATAGGAGAGGAGAGTTATTAAATGGAGAGTTAGAGGTATTGGGAAGATGGAGGGAATATTTTGAGGAATTGTTAAATGTTGATGAAGATAGGGAAACTGTGATTTCGTGTATAGGGCAAGGAGGAATAACTCTGAAGGAGGGGTGTTAATGTTGCAGTTTAAAAACTGTAGTGTAAAGCACCCTTCTGGCAAGACAGTGATGGAGTGAATGATGGTGAAAGTTTTTCTTTTTCGGGCCACCCTGCCTTGGTGGGAATCGGCCAGTGTGATAATAAAAAAAAAATAATAAAAAATAGGAATAACATCTTGTAGGAGTGAGGAAGAGCCAGTTGTGAGTGGGGGAAGTTCGTGAGGCAGTAGGTAAAATGAAAGGGGGTAAGGCAGCCGGGATTGATGGGATAAAGATAGAAATGTTAAAAGCAGGTGGGGATATAGTTTTGGAGTGGTTGGTGCAATTATTTAATAAATGTATGGAAGAGGGTAAGGTACCTAGGGATTGGCAGAGAGCATGCATAGTTCCTTTGTATAAAGGCAATGGGGATAAAAGAGAGTGCAAAAATTATAGGGGGATAAGTCTGTTGAGTATACCTGGTAAAGTGTATGGTAGAGTTATAATTGAAAGAATTAAGAGTAAGACGGAGAATAGGATAGCAGATGAACGAGGAGGCTTTAGGAAAAGGTAGGGGGTGTGTGGACCAGGTGTTTACAGTGAAACATATAAGTGAACAGTATTTAGATAAGGCTAAAGAGGTCTTTGTGGCATTTATGGATTTGGAAAAGGCGTATGACAGGGTGGATAGGGGGCAGTGTGGCAGATGTTGCAAGTGTATGGTGTAGGAGGTAGGTTACTGAAAGCAGTGAAGAGTTTTTACGAGGATAGTGAGGCTCAAGTTAGAGTATGTAGGAAAGAGGGAAATTTTTTCCCAGTAAAAGTAGGCCTTAGACAAGGATGTGTGATGTCACCGTGGTTGTTTAATATATTTATAGATGGGGTTGTAAGAGAAGTAAATGCGAGGGTCTTGGCAAGAGGCATGGAGTTAAAAGATAAAGAATCACACACAAAGTGGGAGTTGTCACAGCTGCTCTTTGCTGATGACACTGTGCTCTTGGGAGATTCTGAAGAGAAGTTGCAGAGATTGGTGGATGAATTTGGTAGGGTGTGCAAAAGAAGAAAATTAAAGGTGAATACAGGAAAGAGTAAGGTTATGAGGATAACAAAAAGATTAGGTGATGAAAGATTGGATATCATATTGGAGGGAGAGAGTATGGAGGAGGTGAACGTATTCAGATATTTGGGAGTGGACGTGTCAGCGGATGGGTCTATGAAAGATGAGGTGAATCATAGAATTGATGAGGGAAAAAGAGTGAGTGGTGCACTTAGGAGTCTGTGGAGACAAAGAACTTTGTCCTTGGAGGCAAAGAGGGGAATGTATGAGAGTATAGTTTTACCAACGCTCTTATATGGGTGTGAAGCATGGTGATGAATGTTGCAGCGAGGAGAAGGCTGGAGGCAGTGGAGATGTCATGTCTGAGGGCAATGTGTGGTGTGAATATAATGCAGAGAATTCGTAGTTTGGAAGTTAGGAGGAGGTGCGGGATTACCAAAACTGTTGTCCAGAGGGCTGAGGAAGGGTTGTTGAGGTGGTTCGGACATGTAGAGAGAATGGAGCGAAACAGAATGACTTCAAGAGTGTATCAGTCTGTAGTGGAAGGAAGGCGGTGTAGGGGTCGGCCTAGGAAAGGTTGGAGGGAGGGGGTAAAGGAGGTTTTGTGTGCGAGGGGCTTGGACTTCCAGCAGGCATGCATGAGCGTGTTTGATAGGAGTGAATGGAGACAAATGGTTTTTAATACTTGACGTGCTGTTGGAGTGTGAGCAAAGTAACATTTATGTTAGTGTAAAGCACCCTTCTGGCAAGACAGTGATGGAGTGAATGATGGTGAAAGTTTTTCTTTTTCGGGCCACCCTGCCTTGGTGGGAATCGGCCAGTGTGATAATAAAATAATAAAAAATAACAATAATAATAATAATAATAATAATAATAATAATAATAATAATAATAATAATAATAATGTTATTTCTTTATGTCATTCAAGTAATGTAATTTAAATTAAAAAATACAGTGGTAGGCACAGTAGTTTATTTTTGATGGATATAGGACCACTTAACCTAGTATTTGTGAGGCCTAGTTGACATAAAAATACAGTTTGTGTCACTCCTAAAGTGTAACAAGGTGCAGCATACTACTTAACACAAGTGCACTTCACATTAAACACCTGTTTCTTGCATAAGATGCAGATCAATGGAGAAATTGACGCTGAACATAAATGCTTGTTTGTACTTTAAATCTGCATTATGGTGTGAAAACTTGTTACACTCTTTGTGTGTTTGATAATGAGTATAATATTACTGTTATAGTGAGTCTTGTGCTTTATAATGAGTATAATGTTAATGTTATAATGAGTGTTGTGTTCCATGCAGGAGGCCGGTGGTTCCACAGACACTGTGGAACACTCACAACAGTTGGCCGCCATTGCAAAGATCGCTGCGATGTTCCCTACCGTGTCTGAGGCACACATCAATGACCTCATGAAGAAGTAAGTGTAGCAACACTGTATTGTTGCTTGCAACCACTGTAGTGTTGGCTGAGGTCAGCAAGTGAAGCAACACTAGTGCTGTAATGTTGCTTACAGCCACTGTAAGCAACAACTCTTGTTTGTAAGTTAAGTCAGCATCACCACTTGTTTGTAAGTTACTAAGCCAGTAACACTTGTTTGTAAGTGTAGGTTTTCCTCTATAAATTAATCTGTTTGCTCACCCAACAAGTGTTGTTATATAACTTTATTAACCCATAAGTTTTGTGTTAAGTATTTATTATAAACAATATTAACATTTAACCACAGATTGCATTATTAACTTGCTTTAATAACTTGCAATAATAACTTTCCTTGATAACATGCCTTGATAACATGCCTTAATTAACCCTTTCACTGTCCATAGATCTACATCATTGAGGTCAGGGTCCCTCATTTAGTTCTATGTCCTGAGTTCGGCTCACTCGGATAAACCATTAGCAGTAAATTGTGACCTAGATATGAGAGACTGGGTCTGTGTGCACCATAGAAAAAAAAAATCCTACCCTGTGCAGTGTTTGATGGGAAAAAAAACTGTGACTGTGTGTATAGTTTAAAATACCAACTTTGCAGTGTTTTCTCTAATGGTTTTTATGGTTTTATTGGCTGTTTCTTGGTATCAATTAATAGAATTGAAGACAAAATACTGAAATAGACCTGATTTTGATTGGTTTCCAGACTAGAAGTAGATTGATATTGAGCTCAAAGCAACAAAAATATTCAATTTTTGCCAATATTCCAGAGGATGAGTAAAGCTCCCAACAACCCCCAGTCTGTTTTATGGGTTTTTAATAGGTCTGATTCAATTATTGGGATACTGTAAGTCATGACCAATCTTTCCTGTTCGTATTGTATTATTTGAGAAATAGAGTAAATCGTCTATTTTTGTTTGAATAAAGAATTAAAAATCTAAAGCATGTGTTATATAGAAGAGGCCTGGAGATGTGACTAAGGGGAATCATGGCCGTGCACTTGGGCGGGGTACAAAAATTAAAATATAATCGAAAATTGAGCTGAAGCTTACAGAAAAATAGTTCAAGAATCTGTCAACATTTTTGGTGTAAATATCATGTTTGTATGATGTTTCTACAACAGATTATAGCCACTGCAACATTTCTTATGACGACACCACAGGTAGCACATCCCCATGTGGATGTTGTGAATTTCCAGTAATTCCGATTTTTTTTTTATTTTCTTTTTAAATTAATTTTTTTGCTAATGTATTAAAATCAACATTTTGTATCATTAAACAGTGGGAGGAGCTTATCCCAGACATGAAATAAGCTGAGAGAAGGTCTCAGAAATGCTAGATCTTGGGAACCGCTGCTGGTGTTATAAAATGTCGTATATTTATGACATTGTTGTGAATTTCTTTATTCCAGTTATCACATGTTGTTCATAATTGTATATGGAAGACACTACATATCATATAAACATAATAAAGACAATCATATGTGAATAAATAGACATAATAGTGAGGTGAGGTAGGCACTCCGGCATAGGGCAATTACATGGTTGATTATAATACATATTATGTTCACTCTGATCGATCACTACCAGAGAAAATGTGATTATGGGTATGGGATACTGCAGGAGGAGTGTATAACAACACTCCTTTCATGTCCTTTCATACATAAGTAGCATCATTCTCTGTCTCTCTCTCTCTCTCAACCGACAGGCCGGACTTGAGTCCTGGAGATGGGAAGTACAGTGCCTGCACTCTGAAGGAGGGGTGTTAATGTTGCAGTTTAAAAACTGTAGTGTAAAGCACCCTTCTGGCAAGACAGTGATGGAGTGAGTGATGGTGAAAGTTTTTCTTTTTTGGGCCACCCTGCCTTGGTGGGAATCAGCCAGTGTGATAATAAAAATATATATATATATATATATATATATATATATATATATATATATATATAATATATTATATATATATATATATATATATATATATATATATATATATATATATATATATATATATATATATATATATATATTATTTATTTTTTTTTTTTTCAACAAGTCGGCCATCTATCTCTATCTATCTATCTTTCTTTCAACACACTGGCTGTATCCCACCAAGGCGGGGTGGCCCGAAAGGAAAAACGAAAGTTTCTCCTTTTACATTTAGTAATATATACAGGAGAAGGGGTTACTAGCCCCTTGCTCCCGGCATTTTAGTTGCCTCTTACAACACGCATGGCTTACGGAGGAAGAATTCTGTTCCACTTCCCCATGGAGGTAAGAGGAAATAAACAAGAACAAGAACTAGAAAGAAAATAGAAGAAAATCCAAAGGGGTGTGTATATATATGCTTGTACATGTATGTGTAGTGTGACCTAAGTGTAAGTAGAAGTAGCAAGACGTACATGAAATCTTTCATGTGTATGAGACAGAAAAAAAAAGACACCAGCAATCCTACCATCATGTAAAACAATTACAGGCTTTCGTTTTACACTCACTTGGCAGGACGGTAGTACCTCCCTGGGCGGTTGCTGTCTACCAACCTACTACCTATAATATATATATATATATACACCTACCATCCAACTTATGACCGAGTTCAGTTCCGAGAAACCGGTCGTAAGTCGAAATGGTCGTAAGTCGAACTTTACTACTGAATATCAACAAAACATTTTTGTAATGACTTTATTTTATTGTTTTATTTTGGTATTTCATGTTTTACTTTACTTTTTATGTTGTTAGTACTGTATTTTATACTGTAAGATTTAGGATAAACACTGTGTACAACATAAATAGTTGTTTATTTCCCAGAAATTTGGCATAAAAAACACGGTCGTAAGTCAAGTGGTCGTAAGTCGAGCAGGTCGTAAGTCGGATGCATACATACATACACATATATACATACTCAAAAAGTCATAAGCCTACTCATGTTTTCTTCACATTTCGTGACAATAAGCTGTTGACCTATATGTTGATACCACCATGAAGTAATAATGGAATGAAATGATTTTCAAGTTACCATTCAACAATGATTGTTTTACTGTGAAAGGAAAAAGAATAAACCAAATAGCCCCTATTTCTTGTATGCATTTATGGGCAGCTGCATAGTGCAAATATTTTATTTTGTAAGAAACTTATGAACTTTATTTTTGGGAAGGATGAAACTGGAGGTAAATTAGGTTGTACATTCCGGTTAAGATCAGTGGATGTTGCTTTATCCATAGAGACTGACCAAAACAATTTTGGCCCTGGCCACATTGGCCATAAGTTGTGCCAAATCAAATTTTTCTTATTTTATTTTTCATTCATTTATTTGTTGCCAGAATTTCTCCAAACTTTTTCTTAACATAAACTATCTATACCTGATTCTACAAAAAAAAAAAAGAAAAAAAAAGGGAAATTGAACACAAAAAAAAAAAAAAATTTTAGTGGTGGCCTCGATACCCCTAATGAACTGAGGAATGTTTTAGTGCCAGGTGTGTCTTCATTATTTATTATGGACTCTATTTTTAAACTGGTATTTTTTTAATTGTGTGCGAAATTGGCCAAATTACCGAATTCTGATCACTATACAGGGCAGTTGAAATACTTAAATGGGGGGTTCCTTATGCTCATTTCACAGAATGGAAGATATGTAAGTGACATTGCTAAGAATTTGGCCAGTTGGAACAATGTAATTGCCATAATCCTTTCAGGGTCTAGACCCCAGTCTGAAACTTGTCCACAGGGTCCAAGAATTTTCAAAAAAAAATTTATTTTTTCTTATGAAATTGTAGAGAATCTTTTTCTGAAGGTAATAAAACAAAAAGTACGAAATTTGATGGAAAATTGCCGAAATTACACTTTCGCATATTTTTTTGCGGCGGAGATATTTACACATCGGCGATTTTGCCCAATTTGACTCCCATTTTAAGCCAGTTACAGTATTCCAGTAGACCAGATTCTTAGCTATTTTGATAGTATTACTTCTATTTTATCAATTGAGCACTAGAAATCACCCAATCAACTATTTCAACTACCCAATAAAGTGATCGGAAATTGGTAATTTGACTAATTTCACACAAGTTCAAAATATTCCAGCTTCAAAATAGGGTCCAGAATAAATAATGCAGGCATTCCTGGCACTAAAATAACATTTCCTCTGTTTATTAGTTACATTTTCAGGCTTTACAAATGAATCTGGTTTTTATTTTTTATTCTCATAATGAATTTTTATTCACACCAAATAATAGAAGATTTACTGTTATGTAATATTGTAATAATTGTATGAATAATATCAGTGCATCATGACACACATTAGAGCCACCAGCTGACGTGTATTTGAAACGCGACTTCATTTGTTTACTCTTGAAATTTGGCAAAACTTGAACATTTCCGGTACTTTGAGCTCAGTTTCTTGCCATTTTCAGTACTAAAACCAATCAAAATGATCTCTATTTCTGTAATATATCATCCATTCTATCAAATGAGACCAAGAAACTGCAAATACACACATAAAAACATATGAAAATACACCACAAAGTTGCTGTTTTAATCCAAAAACATGGTCTCAGTTTTTTCTCATTCTGCACTGCATGCTGAAGGATTTTTTATATGATACACTCTTACCACATAGATGCATTCTCTTATATCTAGGCCCAGATTTACTGCTCACAGCTTATCTGAAGGAGCTGAGCTCATGGCGTAGAACTATGGCTTGGACCCTGGCTTCAGGTCGCAGAACTCGGAAGAGACTCTCAAAGGGTTAAAATAAGATTCCAACTAAGTGAAATTGCTTGTGTGTAAATTGTGCCGAGGCTGATAACTTTGCCCCTGTGTAATTCTATAAGTTTTCCATCAAATTTCACACCTTTGGTGTTATTACCTGCAGGAAAAGATTCTTTACCATTTCAGAAGAATTTTTTTTTTTTTAAATTTTTGGACACTGAGAGTCAGTTTCACTTATGGACAGTGAAAGGGGTAATAACTTGCCTTAATGTGAGAAGTTATCAGAGGAGCTCTTGAGAATGTCAGTAAAATTCAATATGATAGTTTTAAAATGTTCAAAATCTAAGTAAATTGTATTGTTAACTTCTTTATTGCCAATATTTGTTGCAATATAACACTATAAACTGTGCAGTACAATATTAGTTAAACAGTAGAGTAAGTGGTTTCCTTTTTATTTTAAATTTTATTCTGCTTTAACTGACACTCAGAGGATCCTCCCTATTGGTGTGCTATATTGAGGTTATACTGTGACAAGCAGAGGTATACCTGCATGAAGTTTGTGTAACTAACCCAGCACTACTAACTCTGGCACTATTAACCCTTAAATGGTCCAAACGTATCTATACGTTTTTTCAACATCTGAAAGTATGTAAAAAAATGTAGATCTTCTTTTTTGTTTTACATTTGAAAACGTAAAAAAAACTTTTATCTACATTTTTTTTTTGTTATATTTGAAAATATGTAAGAAAAAGTAGATCTACTTTTGTAGCACTACGAATTTGAACGTCGATCTGTTTGGACCGTTTAAGGGTTAACTCTGGCACTATTAACTTTGGCACTACTAACTTTGGCACTACTAACTTTGGCACCAGATATCACAACAGGGAAGCTGTGGTCATCAGTGCACTGCAGGTTCAGAAACATCCCCTTGCAACACCTGGTCCCTACGGTACCTTCACGCCGCCTCCCATGCGACACTTCATACCAACTGCTACTGCCCTCATGGCTCTACAGAGTACTAAGGCATCCTTGACTGTGACTTCAGCCATAGTAGCTACAACACATTCATTAACTACAACTACTGCTGCATCCCAGGATAAACCAGTGATAGTTGCACCCAAAACTGCAGTGAGCACAGGAAGTACCACAGTAACTACCACTGCTACAAGCAATGGTATTGCTCATGCTACCACTAATATAGATCAGTCAACCTTCACTTCTAAGACTGAGCGTGCACAGTATCGTCCGGCGTACGAACGAGCTAGAGGAGCTCTTCTTTTTGATGATAAATGTAGAAAGTCACCCATGATAGGCCAGCGTGGGTCTTTGGAAAGGTCCATCGGCTCTCCTAGAATGGGGCGTGAGTCTGTCGATAGATCTATGGGCTCTCCGAGGTTGGGTCAAGGCTCTCTGGAGCGATCCATTGCTTCGCCATTCCTAGGACGAGAGTCTCCACTCCATTCGTCGCGTGCTTCCTCACCGCACACACTAGGGTCTCCCCGACCCACTACCCGCTCTACCTCTGAGTTTACCCGCTCTCAGCTAGGATCGCCCAGGATCGATCACCGTCACTCTCCTCGACCCTCGCCTCACTCTCCCAAGATCAAACTCAGGTACTCTGGCCTATTCTCTTTCATCATTAATAAATGTCTAACATTGTATGCTGTATATTAAGTAGTTCAAGATTTGGCATTTAAATATTGCAATAATTATTTATTATTCTTAGTGTATTTTTAAGATATAACTAATATACATAACTGGCCCTCTGTCAACTTTTTATGGTTGAATAAGTATTCTCAGAGTTATACAGTGACCCGGACTTTTGAGTACTTGGAAGAATTTATTTATTGAATAAATTGTTATTTCACCTCATTGTTTTATGGTAGATAGGTGGTGACTGAATCAGCCATGTGGTTCTTTATCACTAATTAGTGTGGTAGACGGTGACTGAACTAGGCAGGTGGGTCAGTGTGGTAGACAGGTGGTTCTACACCACTAGTTAATGTGGTAGACAGGTATCTTTATTCTGGAATGTTTCACTTACAAAGTAGGTGAAACGTTGAAGACGTAGTTTTGAAGTAGTCAGCCCCTCAGCTTGGAGAAGAGCTCTGTTCCATAATCTGGAAAACAGATTATGGACCACATTGTTCCAGACTTTGGAGCAGAACTCTTCTCCAGCCTGAGGGACTGACCACCTCAAAACTATGTCTTCAAGAGTGATGGACTAATTGCATTGTCTCTACATCTCCATTGATTCTGCTGCCTCTGTGTAGGCTAAATGTTTCAATATAATGATACCTAACTGTTGCACATGTATCTTCCTTTACTGCTTGTAGGTATTCTGTACCAATTGTTATATTCAAGATACTTTGGTTTTTTAAACTTAATAACTTTAAATACTAATAAGGAGAAGAGACTAGTAGTAAGTGGGTGGGAGTGAAAATAACAATCGAACTCTACTGTTCACTACAGACTGAGGTCATTGCAGCGAGTAATTAGACAAACCCACAAACCAAAAGTTGCAAAAATTAGTTTGAGAGGAAACAAAATCATGGATCATCACCAAGATAATCTTTGGATCAAGACACTTTCTGACCACATGGAGATTATCTACATAAAAATTGCAAGGTGCAGCAATCTGGCTGGTGTGTGCAACAAACAGCACTGAAGAATTCAGATAGACACCCACATCCCTCACTAATGTTTGTTAGCATTTTAGGTTCACACCAGTAAACTCCTACAAAAGAGACGTGAGTGTACGCACCTGGTTATTTTGCCAGCCCCCCCACTGATACCTCAGGATGCAAACTGACAATGCCACAAAAACACCAATATCTCAAGTCTGTATTTGCCTCAGACTTTCCTCATACAGTGGAACCTTGATTGCCAACTGCATTACTTGTCAAACAAACAGTTTTCAAACAAGGATTTTGAGAAAAAATTTCCTGGTTTTCGTATTTTCTCTTGGTTGTCGACTGACAATGCAAACAACTCAGGTCGCATGCTCACAGAATGCACACTGGACAATGTTACTGAATTCCAAGAGTACGCAGAAGCTGGGGGATTTGTCCCCCAACAAGTGTTTGATTGTGACGAGACAGGCCTCTTCTGGAAGAAAATGCTTACAAAGACTTACATAACTGAAGAGGAAAAGTCAGTGCCAGGACACAAGCCAATGAAAGACAGGCTCATTCTGTTACTGTGTGGTAATGCAAGTGGGGACTTGAATTGAAGCCGTTGTTTATCATTCCAAAAATCCAAGAGTTTTTAAGAACAATGATATGAAAAACAAATTGGCTCTAATGTAGAGAGCCAGAACATAAGCTTGGGTAACAAAACAATTTTTTATTGAGTGGGTTCATGAGGTCTTTGCTTCCACTGTCAAAAACTACCTCATTGATAAACAATTGCTACTCAGGTCCTGCTCACCCTCCAAGCTTGGAAAATGAGTTGCTGAAGGAGTTCAGTTTTATAACTGTGAAGTTCTTGTCTCCTAACACCACCCCTCTCATCCAACCCATGGACCAGCAGGCCATTTCTAACTTAAAAAAATTCTACACCAAAGCACTTTTTTGAAAGGTGCTTTGAAATCACTTTAGAAGCAAATTTAACCCTCAGGGAGTTCTGGAAGGACCATTTCAATATTCTCACCTGCTTGAGGCTTATAGACAAAGCCTGAGGGAATGTGTCTTCCAGGACCTTGCAGTCAGCATGGAAGAAATTATGGCAGCCAGGGATTTTAAAGGCTTTGAAGATGAGTCTGAGCCTGTGGAGGATATTGTGTTCCTGGGGAAGACCTTGGGCCTAGAGGTAACTGAAAATGATGTAGAGGAGTTGGTGGAGGAGCATAGAACTGAACTCACCACAGAAGAACTTGTAGACCTTCAGAAGGAGCAGCAACAGATTTCAGCAGAGGAGCTGTCATCAGAGGAAGAAGAGGGAAGGGATGATGTGCCCATTGCACTTGTCAAGGAAATGTGTGTTAAATAGCGTGAAGTGCAGGAGTTTGCTGAAAAATGCCATCCAGACAAAGCAGTAGCCATCCGTTTCTCTAACATATACAATGACAGTGTAATGTCTCAATTTAGACTAGTGTTAAAACGGAGCCTGAAACAAACATCACTGGACAGGCTTTTAGTGAGACAAAGAACCAGTGAGCCAGAACAAGGTGTTAGTGGTGAAAAGAGACATAGAAGAGAAACAACACCAGAAGGACAGTTGTCTGACATATTAATAGAAGGTGACTCTCCTTCCAAGCAGTGACATATCCCCTCCTCTCCTCCACCTCCTGCTTCCAGTATGTCATTAGCTCTCCTCTGACAGGGATGAGGCAGTTAAATTTTCATTTCCTGTACAATATTTCGGTTAGTGCTCATTTTTAGTTTTATGTAGTACTAGTTAGTTTAGTTTTAATAAATTATTATATTGTCATTTGGGGTCTGGAATGGATTAATTCTATTTACATTATTCTTTATGGGAAAATTACTTTGGTTGTCGTCCATTTTGGTTGTCGAATCGACATCTGGAATAAATTAAGTTTGACAACTGAGAATCCACTGTAATCAAAATCTCTCTGAAATTCGCTTTCAACTTATATCTGTCACTCAAGGTCTGGCAATCCAGCAGAAGAGAACTAAAACAGACTATTAGTTGACTCATGGCCAGTAATGTATTTTATATTTAAGTAGTTATTTAAAATTAATTGTATATTTTTGTATTCCAGGGGATGCTAAGTCCCATGGTGCAATGAAGCATGGTGCTGTAGAGCATGGTGCTTGTATCCATGGTGCCATGAAGCATGGTGCTTGTATCCATGGTACTGTAAAGCATGGTGCCATGAAGCATGGTGCATGTATCCATGGTGCTGTGAGGCATGGTGCTTGTATCCATAGTACCATGAAGCATGGTGCATGTATCCATAGTACCATGAAGCATGGTGCTGTGAAGCATAGTGCCATGAAGCATGGTGCTTGTATTGTGTATCTTTGATGTTAGAGACGGCAGTCACACTGAGGTTGCTGGTAGCTACTGCAGTATACTAGGTATTTAGTACAATGTTCTATGTCTGGTTTCTGTCAAACATTGAAGCTTATTACTGTGCACTACAGTACAGTGTACATAGTGGTCTGTGTACTCTAAGGTGTGCCCCAGCATGAATGTGTAACAGCCAGTCAGGAACTACTGACTGATATGTAGTACGATCTCTCATGGTAACTGCTCTCAGTAACTTGTTTATATGTTAATTATTTATTATTTCCAGCAGTAAATTAAAATTACAAAATTTTAATTAAAATTATTTCTTAAGAGCCATACTAATACAAATACAGTAGTTTTATTTTATTATAATACAGATAAAGCTTGATACAATATAAGGCTGAAAAGGTCATTAACTATTGTTGTGCTTCTTGTGCCGACTAATCATAAGACTTGCTAACTACTTATCTCATACATAACAAAGTTTGTAATTTAAGTCAGTACAACTTGAGTGAGTCATTACAGTCACCAGCACGGTGAGTTGGGTTGCAAGTGAAGAATTGGTCAGTTGCAAAGAATTTACATAGAATTTACTTGGTTAGTGATCTGTATTTTATGGAGTGCCAACTATACCCAAATATTATAAACCAGACTCCATGTACATTACAGTAGACCATCGATTGACATGCGATCCTCTAATGTGCTTTCGATAACGCACTACAGCCTCTCCTCACTTAGCAATATACTCATTTACCAACAACTCAGACTTACGAAGGGCTCTCTGACCTGTGTGCATGCCTAAATAATGTATATGAGAGCTGATATTCTCTATTCTGTAGCAGTTTGTGGTTATAGGAGGGTGGGTGCAGGAGGAAAGAGGAGTGATTGGTGGAATGATGAAGTAAAGGGTGTGATAAAAGAGAAAAGGGTAGCTTATGAGAGGTTTTTACAAAGCAGAAGTGATATAAGAAGAGCGAGGATATGGAGAGTAAAAGAAAGGTAAAGAGAGTGGTGAGAGAGTGCAAAAGGGGAGCAGATGATAGAGTGGGAGAGGCACTGTCAAGAAATCTTAATAAAAATAAGAAAAAAAATTGGAGTGAGTTAAACGAGTTAAGAAAGCCTAGAGAACCAGTTAAAAACAGAGTAGGAGAGTTAATAGATGGGGAGATGGAGGTATTGGGTAGATGGCGAGAATATTTTGAGGAACTTTTAAATGTCGACGAAGAAAGGGAAGCGGTAATTTCATGCGCTGGCCAGGGAGGTATACCATCTTTTAGGAGTGAAGAAGAGCAGGATGTGAGTGTGGGGGAGGTGCGTGAGGCATTACATAGAATGAAAGGGGGTAAAACAGCTGGAACTGATTGGATCATGACAGAAATGTTAAAAGCAGGGGGGGATATTGTGTTGGAGTGGTTGGTATTTTTGTTTAATAAATGTATGAAAGAGGGGAAGGTACCTAGGGATTGGCAGAGAGCATGTATAGTCCCTTTATATAAAGGGAAGGGGGACAAAAGAGATTGTAAAAATTATAGAGGAATAAGTTTACTGAGTATACCAGGAAAAGTGTACGGTAGGGTTATAATTGAAAGAATTAGAGGCAAGACAGAATGTAGGATTGCAGATGAGCAAGGAGGTTTCA